TTACTATTAAAAACAGTGCTGCAATAATTATTTTTGTGCATACCTCCTTGACACATGTTAGTGTTACTCAAGGGAAGAAAGTGAAAAATGGACTTGCTTGGCATGTGGTTTCAAAGTAGCTTTGTTATATCAGCAACATATGAAAATCCCCAGTGTCCCCAAAGTCTCTCATCACTTGGCGTTATCAAATCAAAACTTTTTTTGATTTGGATAAGTATGATGGATAAGAAATGATATCATAATTACAAGTAAGTTTGAGCATCTTTTAACATCTTTTCATATGTGTATTAGCCATTTCACATTTCTATTATGTTCATATCCTTTGTTGGGATTTCTTTTGTGCTTATTTGACTTTTACTTATTTATAGGAATCCCTTATGTATTTTTCCATGTGTTCCTGATACCAACCTCTTGTCTTGTATATGTTATAAATCTTTGCATTGGATCTTTTTGATCCTGATTTTGCTACTGACCAGCTCTGTAATTTGAGGGATATCATTTAACTTCCCACAGAGTCATTTTTTCCTATTGTATGATGAGAACATACTTGTTATTCAGTCCCTGAGTTGTGTCTGAGTGTTTTGTGACCCCATGGACTGCAGCAGGCCAGGCTCCTCTGTCCTCCACTATCTCTTGGAGTTTGCTCAGATTCATGTCCATTGAGTCGGTGATGCTATCTAACCATCTCATCCTCTGCCACCTTCCTCTCCTTTTGCCTTCAATCTTTCTCAGCATTAGAGTCTTTTCCAATGTGTTGGCTCATTGCAATACTACTACCTTTCAGTTATTGTGTTACTGTGTAAGGCTAGTGAAACAGTGTATGGACTCTGATTTGGTGGTTTCTGATTTGGTTTCCACCAGCCTTTTCTCAGCTTTAAGTGAGAATACACTACTTTTTACTTTTATTATGAAATGCCAATGGTAGAGCATAGGAAAGTGCTTTTTAGAATAAAGAATAACTTCAAATGTAGGCATTTTGTCCTTTCTTTGACTTTATTATAATTTATCCCTAGGAGTTAACTTCTGTGAAGCATCCCCATCTCTACAGGTGTGGATCAGATTTTGAGGGGTGGGTGTCACAACAGAGCATTTGTCTTGTTTTAATCTACACTCTTCTTGTAGGGGGAGGGGAGAGGTTCATAAACAAGGATAGGATAGGCTCACATATGGGAAGGAGGTGAGGAAGAGCAGCATCAGGAGACACTCACTTCATCACCACTCACAGTGCTTGCCCCAAGGACTGTCAAGTAGAATCTGGCCATTTATGGATCCACATGTGTCCAAAGTTAGAACTCTTCTGACTTCGCAGTTAGAACACGAGTTTCAGAGGCACCTCTTCCATTCCACCACAGTAGGGAAATATGTAAGTATGACCCATTCCAGTTACCTTTTGACTGCTGAGTGCCCTCAGCAAACTATTAAAGCACAGCACCACACAGAGCTTTGGAGACACTCGTACTCAAACGCCACCGTAGACATAGACAGCCTCATGCCCCCACCCTATGCTTTAGAGGGCCCTTCCTTTGCCCACGCCTGCCCCCTTCCAATGGAGAAGGAAATGGCAGCCGACTCCAGCATTCTTGCCTGGAGAATCCCATGGACAGAGGAGCCTGGCGGGCTACAGTCCATGGGATCGCAGAGTCAGACATGACTTAGTGATTAAACCACCACCACCACAAACCGCACCCCCCCCTTCTAGACCACTCTCCCAAGTATCCAGAATCCAAGAATTACCTAATGAAATGCCCTGACCCTGCTCTCAGGACCTGCAGAGGCATTTCTGAGCCCATCCTCCAAAAGATGAATCAAACCCTCAGACCCACACCTGATATGTGCATTCTTATGTTCCAGGTGTGGCCCAGCGTGACTGTTTGAAAGAGATGGTCCCAGAATTTGGGTGTACCAGCCTGAGCATCTGTGTACAAGGCTTGTTGAGGTGCAGGAAGGGGCTGGGGTGTGTGAGAAAAGAAAGGCAGTGGCTTTGGGGCCAGGGTAGTCCGTTTTCACTCTTGCCTCAGCCCTGCAGCTCTCAACTGCAGGGAGAGTCTCCCAACTGCTTATTTGTGGAGGAGGGTTTTTATTTTTTATTTTTTAAAGCTTTTTTAAAAAAAAAAGCCACTAGGGACTGTTTTTTTCCACCACTCGTTTAGAGGCTGGCTTCATATAGACCCCAATTATCTTTGAGAATATTCTCAAAGAGACCTGGGTGGGGAGTGGTCTGGGTGAATTTCCTGAAGGAAGGGTCTCTGCCTCTCCTCTGTCACTCGCCTGGTAGGCAAGTGCTGCTGTTGCTTTGTGGAAAGGAGGAAGGATTCTGCTGACCCACTGGATTTTTATGAAAGAAGGCTAAGGGTTCCCTTATCTCCCCTCACAAGGCACATCTGCCAGCAAACAGGCTGTCTGCTTCTTAGGGATTCCTTCGTCATCCTGTTTCTTTTCTGAATGTTTTAAGACACAGTTTAGAGCATTCCTTTCTGGTCTCTAGAGCTGTGGGGGGGAGGCAGGGCGGTGGGGAAGTCATAATATATCAGGGCTCTTGCTGAAGAGCTTAAAATGGGTGCTGGCAGCTGGGATGTGGGGCAAGAGAGCTTTCCAGGGACAAGTGACCTGCTTGTTCAGCCAATGAGAAGCAGGTTAGAGGAATGATATCACCAGACAGGCGTTATTGTCTGATCGTCTCATAAAAGCCGGATTGTGTCTGGCAGTTTAACCCTTCTGTAGGTACTTTGGGTCTCACGCACTTCCTGGTATGTGACCTCCAGATTCCTTTTCCCACCTGTCTGCTGTGAGACCAGAGATTAAAGATTTAAATTGGTGATGAAATTTGGGAAGTGATGTCATCATCTTGAAAGTACAAATTATTAAAACTTAGAACCACAGTTAGGGTGGGAATGTCAGCTGTATCTGGAGAGCACATCTAAAGCAGATATCCATCTTAGGTTACATCAGACTTTTACTGTGGACTTGGGAGAGAATGGAGGGTAGAGCGGGGAAAAAGGATTTCGGCTTTAGTCTATTTTAATCTATATGATGGAGACTTACTAAGTATGCCCTGTTTTGGAGAAATTGGGATTTTCCTCCCAAATTGGGAAAATATCACTGATTCTGAGGCCAATTTTGAAGAACAGATATTTGTCATGTTTGATTATATTACACTTATTTATTGTCCCTTACCCATAAAAATGACTTGATTTTCTCATACCTCCTTTCCTTCACTGGTGAAATGAGGGTAAAGATCCTATCGTATCCCCGAGGAGTTGAGATAAGAAAACAAACTAATTCATGTGACTTTTCATCTCGTGCTACACACATGTATTATTATTAAGGCATTTGTATCTTAAGATGTCATATTCATTCATTCATTTGTTCAGCATACTTTTTAAAACACCTTGATGCTGGAAGCAGATACAGAGAAAAGATGTAGTTATTACCTTGAAGGAATTTTAAATATTGTGAGGGAGACAGACCATAATAATAAATATGTCTCATACATCTATTGTCTTTACCATGTGCCAGGCCCTGTTCCAAGTACCTTGATGTATATGAGCTTGGTTTTATCTTACTACAGCCCTCTGAAATGGGTACTATTATTAGCTTCATATTATAGATAAAGAAATTGCGGCTCTGAGAGGCTAAGTGATTTGCCTGAGGTCACGCAGATCTAGTGGTAGATTTGGGACCTGAATCCAGGGAGTGTAGCTTTAGTCTTTGCTTTCAATCTGTGGTAACCAGTGCAGTAATCACCAGCTATACATGGCTTTAGAGTACTTGAAATTTGGTAAATCCAAAGTGAATTGGGCTGTGTGAAATACACATTACATTCCAAAGCTCTGGTATGAAAAAAACATATAAAATACCTCATGTTGAAATCACATGTAGTGGTGATAATATTGTGGGCATACTGAGTTAAGTAAAATGTATTCAAATTAATTTCCTTTTGTTTTTTTTTGACTACTTGAAAAGTTAAAATTATATATGTGCCTTGCATTTTTGGCTTATACTTCTATTGAACTGTGCTAGTCTAAATCATTATAATGCAGTAACAACAATAATAATAGGTGACATTTATTGAGCTTTTACTATGTGCCACATATTATGCTCATGCCTTTACAAACACCATTTCAGTTAAGCTTCAAAATAACCCTTTTTATAATCTTCATTTTGTTGAAAAGGAAGTAGGTTTTGAGAGTCAGTAACCTGCCTGAGTTTAGTTAACTTGTTAATGTAGACCCCAAATTTGAAATGTTTTATGTCTGACTCAAAAACCTGTGTTCAACCAGCGCATTGAAATGCCACTTCCAGTTAAATATTGGAGCATTTTTTTTGTTTTTATTTCTGTAAGAACTCTGTGGGAGAAGGCGAGGGTGGGATGTTTCGAGAGAACAGCAGCGAAACATGTATATTATCTAGGGTGAAACAGATCACCAGCCCAGGTTGGATGCATGAGACAAGTGCTCGGACCTGGTGCACTGGGAAGACCCAGAGGGATCGGGCGGAGAGGGAGGTGGGAGGGGGGATCGGGATGGGGAACACATGTAAATCCATGGCTGATTCATGTCAATGACAAAACCCACTACAATATATAAAAAAAAAAAGAATATTTAGTATTGCATACATCTGTATTTGTGATGTAGAAGTTTAAAATCAAAATCACTAGGTCATAAAATAGACATCCTGGATAGAAATCTCTTGCAAAGCTTTGGCCCTCAGTCAATAATGGCACAGTTGAGCCTTGAGATGAAGCAGTGAGTCACCCTATACAAATTGTGTTTAATTTTCATTCCAATTGTTCTCTCAGGTCACTGGGCAATTTATGTCCCAACCGTCTTTGTCCATAGAGAAGAGGAAGAGGGGCAACACAGCTTTCCTTGGTCGTTTAGTCTTCTTGCTGATAGGAAGGGGAAAAAATGCCTTCCGTTTCATTGTCCCATGAAATACTGTTTGTGTTCTGGAGAGTAACAAAGTGCTGTCTAATGACCCCTGACTTTCCTTTCTTCTAGAGCAAAGACTCAGGCGGACTGAAGGCGGCTATGATAGAGTTGGTGGAAAGGTTAAAGTTTAAGAGCTCAGACCCTAAAGTAAGTATTGTTTTGGATTTAATTGGATATTGGTACCCCAAGTAATTCATTCTCCTTGGGCTAAATTCGAGGGATGTTAATGACCGTCCATCTGAACACTGCATCAAGATTAATTAACCCTGCCCATCAAAAGCAGTGTTCTCATGTGCCTAGAGATAAGTCATCTATTTTCCCCCTTCTCTGTTTTATGACTTACAACACATAACCATTAATTGTTTTCTCTGAACTGCAGACAAGTGCATTTTTAATCTTCCTTTACTGGGCCTTTGAGACTGCTGGTGCCTGTGTCCATTAAATCCAGCCAAAGGCATCAGAGATACAATCAGCTTAATGCTGGGGACTGGAATAAACTCAGGCCTATGCAGTTGATGTTCAGTTCTTGTCACTCTCCCACTTACAAGAGCCAGCTGCCACAGTGAATGCCTTTGTCCTCATGACCTGGAGTCTGGTCTGGGAAATGGTTTAAGCTTCCCAGCTTTTTTTGTGAGATGTTGGGGGGCTCTAGGATTGGTATTCTGGGAGGTGCCATACCAGGGTTTGGGGGTGGACGGGGAGCTGAACATGCCTGAGGGAGTATGACTCATGCAGCCTCCCTTCTCCTACCCAGATCCTCACTGTGGTGCTCCCCCGTCCTGGGGCCAGCTGGCTTTGCCTGAGAGTCAGAGCCTCTCACAATTTCAGAGCAAAAGGAGCATGATTTTATTTGACTTTTTGTATTGTTATTTTTTTTAATTAAAAAATTTTATAAAGGAATTAGACTAGCATTTCCTGAGCACCTACTAAGAGCCCAGCACTGTGCTAGGATCTTTACATACCTTTTTAAAAAATTGGGGTAAAATATACAAAATGAAATTTACCACTTCAACCACTTTGGAGTGTTCAGTTCCGTGACCGTAAGTACGTTCACATTGTTATGCAGCATCACTACTCTCCATCCCCAGAACTTTATCCATCATCCCAAACCGAAACTGTGCCCATGAAGCACTAACTCTTCTTTCTCCCTCTCCTCTTACACCCTTGTGATGCTGGGAAAGATTGAGGGCAGGAGGAGAAGGGGACGACAGAGGATGAGATGGTTGGATGGCATCACCAACTCAATGGACATGGGCTTGGGTGGACTCCGGGAGCTGGTGATGGACAGGGAGGCCTGGCGTGCTGTGGTTCATAGGGTCGCAAGGAGTCAGACACGACTGAGTGGCTGAACTGAACTGATCATTGCAGTAACCTTGTACATTAGCTTTTATTCCCATTTTATTGATAAGAACACTGAGGTTCAGAGAGATAGGGCCATTACCCCAAGTAGAGTGTAATTTAGAGCTGAGATTCAAAATCTGATTCTGGTGTTTGTGTTCTTTTTTATTATGCTGCAGGCACTGGGTTTCATCTCCTTTCTCCTATAGAATCACGTTACGCTTCCATTTTCTAACATGAAACACTATGTGAGGCAGAGCCACAGACAATGCCAGGCTCTTCAAAAGGTGGCTGCAGTCACCAGTCTACAAAATAATTTTCATTTTATACAGCATTGAAAGTTCTTGGGACATCAGTAACACCTCTTGCCTTCTGGTGTAGTTAGGGTTCCAGAGCATCTTGATACCAAAAAAAAAAAAATTGGAGTAACTTTTGTCAATTTGGTAGCTCAAAGTAGAAAGACCCCCTCAAAACTACTTATATTAAAGTAGTTTTCCTTTAGTGAAGGTGAACCAATTATTTATTAAAGATAGCAGGAAGATTTTTTTTTTTTTAACCAAGTTTCTCGGACAACAGCTATCCTGAAGGAAACAAATGTATTTCCTCTTTGTGCCATACCCACATGCTTATGGGCAGTGAAGAGCAAGAGGATGTGTACAGATTACACTGAATGGCTTCTGTGCCTGATGACAGTACAGGTGAGGTGCTTTGGGAACCTTAATGAATGCATATAGTGCATCTGACGGGAAACTTGTCCAAGGTGAAAGGTCTGAGTAGTCCCCTGAGAGCAACCCATGGAAGCCTCAGGACTTTCCCACAATGCATCATAAGCTAAAGGATATTTGTTAGGACCTCTCTTGATCTTGAGGGTGTTTATACACACTTACCTTTCTTTCAGCTTCTCTTTGTCTCATCCTGGATAATTTTCCACCAGTCTGTTTTATTGTCAAGCCCCTCTCTTGTCCACCACATGTGTGTGCCATTTTTTACCTGGAGCCAGCTCGAAGAAGGACCAACGTCATGGCCAAATGACTGTCAGATCACAAAGGGGATGAAAAATGGGACACTTAAATACGTAATTTCTGCAACAAAGAAAAATTTCCCAGAAATAAACTGGTGTCTTCCAAAAGAATCCATGCATTTTTAGTCTGTTCTGTCTTCCCTCCTAACCCTACCATCCCTTTCTTATGTTGGCCTATTTAAGAAGAGCAAGATCTCTCAGGCTTTGGGACCTGTTATTTCCTGGTGTGGCAGCTTTAAGTAGAAGCACTGGTTGAGTCATGGAGCGCTGAGCACTCTCTCTGCCTCACATCCTCAGGAATTCCCTAAAGCCTCACAAAACTTGATTAGTCCAGACAATGAGGTCTGCTGGGGACTGAGTTAATTTTTACATCTCTGTTTTGCCAGAGAGAAGTGGAAGATGCCTAGATTAACCTTTTGTAAAAAAAAAATTATAAAATAATATATGGTTATAGATTAAAAATACAAATATTCATAAAGAAAATTAAAGTGAATTTCCCTCAAGTTAACCACTGTTAACATTTTGCTGTGTAACCTTGTAGACCTTTTTTCATGTGGAAATAAGTTTCTAAGATATTTTACAAAAATTATACCATAGCTGTGGCTTAAGACACAGAATGTCTAAAACATTCTTCAGTGTCAGTAATATAGACTGATAAATGAGATGCCTCATTTTGTCCAAAATATTCGTCAGATACCCTCTTTTCTTCAGATCAATGGTTCTTAAACTTTAGTGTGCGTGAAAATCTCTTGGAGGAGCCCCATCCCAGAGTTTCTGATTCAGTGAGTCTGAGGGGACTGGAAACTGTGTCAGACCTTCATTATTTTCCTGCCCTCTCGTGTTTTGTTTTTTTTTCATTCTTTTCTGCAGATAGCCAGAAGGGCCCTTGTAAATAAGTCCAAGTGATTTCAACCTTGAAAACAAATGAAATACATAGAAGTCCAGGCTTAGAAAACAAACGGAGCTGAGGCAGCAGAGGGGGGCGGGATGTGGCTGTCCTCAGCTCAGGCTCCCTGAGGACAGGGTTCCCTTCAGCAGTTAAGTCCAACAGAGAAGCAGCAAAGCCGAATAAAGGGAAAGAAGTCCTGGTCAGGAATGAGGAGGATGATCACAGCGTTGTGGTCCGGGAGTGGGCTGAGTTCTAAGACCAGAGGAACAGCAAGATACCCAATCCCAGCTCCTAGGATTGAGCCTGAGGATGGGAAAGAGTGCCGGTGATGCTTGGTAAATAAGGCGCAGGTCCCTGTGAAGTTGTGTGCCTGCGTGTTGCTGGGGTGAGCCTAGTTTTAAACGGGACAGACCTCCAGGGATCCAGAACTTGTATACAGTGGAAAAAAGTTATTTTTAATAGCAATCTTTATTATGTTTAATTGGAAGTGGTCTATTAAGTAATCCTCATGTGTTTGACATGATCCAGTTTGCAAAAATTTTTTTGCAGCCAAACTTTTCAGAAACATCTGTTGCACAAAGCAGGGTTTTAGTCTCTAGATTTCTTACATTTATTCTAGACTTTAGGGAAACTAAAAGATGTAGTTAATTCGGGGTTTGTATGTGTGTGTATGTCCAGGCTGGATTTTTAGGAAATTTAAAGCACATGAGTTCTTCACAGCTTTCCTTTGTAGTGACTACGCAATCATCTTTCATAGTTTACCCAGGGGAAACCTAAAACTTAAAAAACACATCGATCCTCTTCCTTTCCTTCCCTCTGCTCAGTCTCCCAGAAAGCACTGAACCAAAAGTATAACATGCTAAGCTCAATGTAACCAGCCTCTCACCATGCAGTTAATGACAGCCGTTTTCTCCATTATATATTGATTACTTTTCTTTCCATATAAGATGCACCATTGACTGCTTTCTGTAGCTGGTGTGCTTGAAACAAGCAGTTAAACCATGTTTGTATATCTAGAATTTATACTAATTTATTAAGAAGTTATCCTCAAAAATGCATCTTAACTTCGAGCCACGTGGTTCACATTATTCTCCCTGACTGGAGTGGGATTAAACATAGGATTGAATCATACTAAAACTGTCTAGAATACAATCAGGTTCTTTTCCTTTTTTCTCTGATCTCAAAAGGTATTCTTACTGAAGTGTGAAACCAAAGAATTGTCTAGAAACATGAAATGAAATAGAACTGGAGATCGTTTTCTTGTTTTATTTTTATTTAGCGTTTACAGAGCATTTTATAATTGAAAGTGGACTTTATGGTACTTTTTAATAGCTGATGTCATTGACATAGAACATAGCCCAGACCTTCACTCCAGTGCTAATCAGACTATTGTTAAAATGGTAGGTTTTGCATGTACAAATGGTAATGGATAGAAGCCAAACCAAACTTGAATTCTTAGTGTCGTGTTATCACCTGGGTCAAGCCAGGCCTTGTGCCAGTCCTTGTCCTGCTGTAAGATAGAAGTATTCACTGAGGCAGTATTTAATCAACCATCTGAAGCATATAATTAAGATGCCCCAGTTATTAAATTGGTTCATTCAAAAGTGTTTCTTTGGTTGGAGGGTTATTAGAATTATTGACCTAGTCCTTCACTTTAAATAAAAAAGTTGTAAATAATCTTAGAAGACATGAATTGTGTTTATATCTGTCTCCTCAAGCCCTACAGCATAGTACCTGGCACATAATAGTAGATTTTCTTCTTCTTGTGCGTGCTTAGTCATGTCCAGCTATTTGTGACCCTGTGAACTATAGCCTACCAGGCTCCCCAACCATGGGATTTTCCAGGCAAGAAATACTGGTCTGGGTTGCCATTCCCTTCTCCAGAAGCTCTTTCAGACC